AAGCATGCCCGTGGGGTCAGGTCCATCGACCAGCACTGCAATCCCGAGCCGTCGCCGCACGGCGCATTGCAATTCTGAGTTGTCGAAGACCAAGGTCGCCGGCTCAACCACCAACCACCCAACAAAAAACCGCCCCATCACAAATTGAGAGATTCCGCCGTGGAGACCGGAATTATCTTATCTTTTCATGGATTTTACCATTTCTGCGCTAGAGCCAACATTTGAGATGCAAAGCGGGATCGGATCCAGAATCGAAGCCGCATGCACATTTAATGCGGACAAATTTCGATTTTAATACCGACATGCGCAATGACCGCAACATTTGAAGCGTCCGTTGCACAAACTATGTGCGAAATTACATACTCGCGCGTGGAATTTTTTGATGACCGCGATGCAAAATCTTCTGAGCACGCGGGCATTCATCTGTGTATCTATGTAGCAATGAACCGTGAACTAACAAACGCCGCCTGTTTGATCTTTGGCATTTTCGCCGTTGCACGTGCCCGCGTTGGCAACTGATATCACGCCTTTGCTTGCGCTCGTTCTCATAATATTGTCTTTTCGATCGATGCTCATCAGAGGCCCAGGGCAACGTGGGCCGTTTTCTAACATACTACTAGGTCGGGCATGTCCTCCAACAAGCGGGCTTTGGAGGAACAATTAAAAATACCAAACAAATAGCCAACCCATGCTCAAACATATTCAAACAATCGTCACCAAACTATGTTTCGACTATTTTCGAATATCCCTCCTGCAACAAAAACACGCCCGACTCAACCATAATATTGCGCGCCTCTGGCCGCCCGCGAACACGGGAACATGGAACGTTCGAATGACATTCGAAAGAGTTCATGAAGCGGGACTCATCGGACTAATAAGCTGCTCCGAATTAAAACTGCGTGGAAAAACAGGCGAAACAAGCGGAGGCGAAAATATTGGAGGACAAAAGGGGGTGGAAAGGGAGGAACATACAACGAATCAAAATAATGGAATTGCCATCATTGCGATTATTGGAATAGTGACGCGCGCTGAACAAACCCAATCTTTGGCAAATGGGAACGCATGCAAATTCGACCAGAACTTGCACGTGAACGTTCTCGCGGCCAGCATCCTAGAATCTGGCGGAACACCCCCTGTAGTCTGCTTCACAAGTGATGGGGCTTTCTAGGCATCGGCCTCCCATCAGCGGTAGTCTGGGCTGTGTTGCGGGATGTGGCCGACTTGCCAGCTCGCCGCTTCACTCCTGATGCCGTTTGCATCTGGTGTCTCACAGCCTGCTATTCGTTGTCTGGGGAATAATCATATGGTGCTGCATGCCAGAAACAATCTAGCAAAACATTGTGCAACTTGGCTTGGAAGGAAATGCCGGCGGAAACCATGACGCCCAGTCTGAAACTGGGGACCAGTGTCGGCAGGAATCGCGCAAGCGAAGACGTGATCACACAATGGCAGTCAAACACACCACCATGTGTCGAAACGTGTGAATGGAGTTTCGTGGCCCAAGTCCTTACGTCTCCAGGGCTCACACGCAGCACTGGTGCCAATCTAAACCCATAACGGCACCCACGCCCGGCGGCCTGGCCGGGAGTGCGTCCCGACTGCGGGCCGCCTCACGATTGCGGAGGGCAGGAAGGAGAAGGAGAACGATGATAGGATAGGATAGGACATGATGGGAGAGGAAGGAACCACTGGCGCTGCCAGCAACGAAGATGATCACACCAAAGAGAGGACCTGAACTGCCGCCTTGCTACGCCGGCCTTGCTTAGGATTAGGTCGGGCCTGCCCCCCTACAGGGCGACCTTGGGCGAAACATGAAACATACGGAAGAAATACTCCCCAAACATGCCGCCTAAGTAGTCAAACAAATCGTCCCCTGCTAATTTTCTGCCTAGTTTTGAACATCCCTCCTGCAGAGGGCCAGGCCCGACTGAATCGCCGAGCACGTTCCACTACGCGCAAAGTGCCTACTCGCACGCGTCCGAAAAACACCGCGGGGGATCCCCCGCGGGGGATCCGGGCCATTTGCGAGCAGTTCCTTTGCGAGTAGTGGAACCCGCTCGTCGACCGAAGCTCAGGACTCTGGCCACAGAGAGCCCTCTTCGCGCGGGCGGTCCGCCGCGTGCCGCCCGCGGCGCGCCGCGCGCCGAGGCCGGCGCGCCGGGGACGCCTTTGGTCCGCGGCGTGCCTGGCGGCGGCGTGCCGCGGCCTCGCCGAAGGGGGGCGCCGAGGCGGCGCGCGCGCCGCGGGGCTTCTGCGGCGGCGCGGGCCCGGCGGCCCCCAGGGCGGCTCTGTGCACTCAACGGCGGGTCGGCGAGCGGGCGCCCTGGATCTTCCTCTCTCTCCCTCTCTCTCTCTCTCTCGATGTGTGCATGCAGCGTTCGCGAAGCAGTGCTCGCACTCGGGGTTTTCGGGTCTGGTCTGAGGATCTGGGCCTCGGTGGCGGCCTGGTGGCTCCGTGCTCGCCCTCGCCACCCCGTCGCCTCCTCGTCACCGCCTCGTCGCCGCCCGTCGTCGCCGCCCCGTCGCCGCCTCGTCGCCGCCAGTCGTCTGGGCTTGGGTGGCGGTCTGGCGCTTCCGTGCTCGCCGTCGCTGGACCGTCGTCGACGTCGCCGCCCCGTCGCCGCCTTGCACAAATTTCTTTTCTATAAAGGAATTCGGATCCACCCCCCGCCGATTATCAGTTCTTCTTTTTGTACTTCAACGTGCACATGTTTCTGCTTCATCATTCTGTCTACATGCGAGCTCATACCATCCCAGCCACACCGGTATCGACTGGCCCCTCATCCAATGTACAGAACACTAGTCGCGCACACGGGTTCATCATAAATCATCGGACAACGGGGCGAAGTGCACACGCGCGGGAGCGTGCGGTGTCGTCTCGCCTGCGCTTGCCAAATATAACAACTTTCATCTAAATAATCCTCGTAGGTTTCGAGGATTCCAGACCTCACTCGAATGTCTCCGCGCAGAGATCTAGGAACACCTCATTCTGGTAATGTGAGTGCCTGTCAACAAGTCGTGCGCGCATTTTGGAACGAGATGTAGGGGAGCGGGAGAAAGAAGAGGAGCGAGGGAACGAGCAGGGGGAGGAGGAGGAGCGAGGAGGTGAGGAGGAGGTCGGAGGTAGGAGGAGGAGTCCTAAGGAGGAGGTCAGGGATCCTGAGGAGGAAGAGATGAGAGGAGGAAGGAGGAGGAGGAGGAGGAGGAGCTCCGATTGTGAGGAGGAGTGAGGACGAACGAGGATGGATGGGGGGGAGAAAGGAGTAGGAGGAGTTGAGAGAGGAGGAGGAGGAATGGAGGAGAGGGAGCGTGTGGAGGAGCGCAGCGAGGAGTGAGGAAGATCGTTGGTGCCGGTAGGTGCTTTCTCTCACATTTTAGCCCGTCACACATCGTCACGGTATGCTGTCTCGCGTGCGATGCGGCGCGCACTCGTTTCGCGCGGTGTGTCACTAGCCTGAGAGCGGAACTACGGCGCTCTCCTTCCGCGGGGGGGGCGGGCCATGGAGAGCAAAAAAAAAAAAAACGCCTGCAAGTCGACGGGCAAGCGGGGTGCACTTTGCTCTCCTCCTCCTCCTCTCCTCCTCCTCCTCCTCTATTCCCTAACTCCCTCCTCCTTCTCCTCCTCCTCCTCCTCCTCCTTCCCTTCGCCTCCTCCTCTACCTCTTACTTACCCACCCCTCTCTCTCTTATCCTCCCACGCCCCCTCTCTTCTTCTCTCCGCCGTTCCTCTCCTCCTCATCTCATCCTCTCCCTCCTCCTCCGTCCTCTCTCCTTCCCCCTCCTCCTCCGCCCCCTCATTGGCTCCTCCTTGGCTCCTCGTTCCCCTCCCTTTCTTTGCCCCCTCCTTCGTGTCATCCACTTCCAATCCTCCACGGCTGCTTAACATGATGCTCTCCTGTCCCCTGACAGATGTCCACTGGGGTGTCCGCTTCTCTCGCTGGTTAATTTCCCACGCGACATACCTCATGATACTGTCTTTGTCCCATGGATACTTTTCGATCGGAGCTCCCTGGCTGGGTCCATCACAATGGCGTTCCCTCTGCAATACCTTGCTCCTGTCGTTTAGAATGGCTATCTCGCCCCAACGCCGTTGCGAATGGAGTGGCGCTATATGTGTTCCCGCCCTGCGGCGTTGCCACGTGGCGAATGGAATGGAACAACTGTTTTCGCCCCCCAGACGCTGCCACGTGGCGAGTAGAGTGGGATTGTATATGCTCGGCCCGCGCGGCATTGCCACGTGATGAGTTGAGCTCAAGACATACAACTCTGGGATGATGCACTCAGCGTCGACGAACGCCCCGGTCCATCTATTCCAGGTGGACCCGGACCACCGCCGCCGCTGAAACGTGGCACGGCAGGCACCCTGCGCGGCCCTTCGGGCAGAGGCTGGGATGTTGAAGGCTGTCGCCCAATGGCGTGCCACATGGGTCATCATCTCTGTGCCAGGCCGTGCTGGGGCTGGGCGGCGGGGCCAGGCCGGGCTGCGGGCAGCGATTGCCGATTGCCCACTGCGCACTGGCCGTGCGCAGAGGCGGCCTCGAAGGCGCAGTGGTCCAGGACGCGCGCACCCGTGCCCTCGCCGCCCGAAGGCAGCAAGCACGTCTTGCGGTGGTGCGGCAAGACGGCGTGGCACGCCGTTACCCGCAGTGCGTCCGCGCCCCGCGTCGCCCGCCCGTAGGCGCGGCGGTGCCCCCCAGAGGCCCTGTGCTGCTGGTTCGCCACGCACTCTCCGCTGCCAGCTCCGACCGGCACTGCAGAGGCCTGCGGAATCGCCTGGTGGGGGAAGGCGAACGCTGCAGCTGCCCGGGTGCCGCCCGCCCATGGCCCCGTCGTAACGCTCCCTGGCTTCAGCTGTACACGCCGGGACCGACTGCCTCACCTCAGCCCCGCTCGCACGCAGGACCTCGGCTGCACCTCGGCTGCAGGCGTCTGCTGCACGCCCCCGCGCCGGGCGCCCCAGCTCCGCGGCGAGCCGCCGAACAGGCGCGCGGTGGTGCCACCTCAGCTGCGTGGAGAGCGGCCGTTGCCTGGAGCTCCGACGGAAGCGTCAGCGCGAGACCGCCTGACGCCCCAGGCAAGGCGACTTGCTCCTGCGCGAGGTCGTCCATCGGGTCGCCGAGGAGCGCCTCCAGCGCGCGCGTGCACTCGCAGGCCAGGCGGGCAGCGTGCGCTTCGAGGCACTGCCAAGGGCAGAGGCGCATGTCGTACTCCAACGCCCGCGCGACGGACTGCTGCAGTATCGTCCGAACTGCCTGGTCGGCCTCCTTGTCGACCCTTGCCTTCACCATGTCCCGCAGGGCCTGGGCTTCGCCGTGGCCGCGTACGCACCCAACTCGGTGTCGAGCTTGCCCTGCGTAGCAGCGCCGAGCATGGGCAGGCTGCCGTAGCTCGGGGGGGAGGTCTCGAAAAAGGTCGACCCTGCACGGCCCAGTGCAACTGCGCCGCGGCACCCAGCAGAGTCCAACGCGGGCGTCAACGCGCGGGACGTGCAGCCAGGCGGTGCCCATGCGCAACCAGCGCGCCCTCCACTGCCGGCCACTCGTCGATGAAGCTCCGGAAAGAGCCCACCACGTAGGTGTCGTCCGCAACTCCAGCTCGGACGAGATCAACCCCAGGCATCTCCGAAGACGCGCCCTCCAAGTCCAGCGCGAAGGCACTTGTGCCAGCCAGGACCCTCGGAATACCCCTCGCCGAGGTGCGTCCTTCGCCCGCGCGCCCTCGCCCATGCGCTGTCAGGTGTCGACGCGCCCGTGCGCGCACTGGACCGCCGCGAGCGCGGCGACCCGGGGCGAGCCGACGGCGGGGCCGCCTGGAGGGCGGAAGACGGGCAGGATCTGACGAGCGCGTTCTCCATGCCGAGCTCCGCGATGGTGTCGACGTCGAGGCCGACCTGGCTTGCCTCTGCTGGGAGCATGCTGCTCGCCTACCCCTCGGCCTCGCGCGCGTCGCTGGAGCTTGGCCAAGCGTGCTGGGCCATCCCGGGTGGCTACAGTCGGGGCATTGACCCGAGGAGCCCTAGATAAGGAACGAGGCCCCTTTTTTTCCCACAAGTGAAACTTCGACTTCCCATCGAAAGCCTAAGGAAAACCTAAAGCAAACTGTGAAACAATCAAGGAACACGCGCGGCAACTTCTGGGGAGGGGCCCCTCGACCGCCTCGTCGATGGTGACCGCCTCCACCTGTTTGATCAGCACTCCAGTTTGGGCCATGGCCGGAGTTTGCGGGAGGGCGCCTGGTCGGCCTCAGCTGGCGCACGTTCTTCGCAGCCGGCGGGTTCCAGGATAACCCAGCGTGCAACATCGTGTCGAATTCTGCCCAAGCACCATTGACTGCGAGCCGCGCAGATGGAGGCCTTCTAGATAGGGTCCGAGTAGATGGGGTCGGAGGATCGCGCCGCATCGCTTATGCATCGGCGATACATCGAGGATGCATCTGCGATGCATCGGCGAAGTTGGCGATGCATCGGCGACGTCGGCTTCGAGGGAATCGGGCTCCACGTCTAGCAGCATCGCCGATACATCGGCGATCCGGCGCGATCCTCCGACCCCATCAAACTGCTCCGACCCCCTCCAGGAGGCCTGGAGCAAAGCCCTGGCGGGCGTCGACTCCTCCCGGGAGCGACGCCAGGGCCGCGATGGGCACGCTCCGGATCCCCGAGGGGCGCTGCGCCACGGAAGAACGCAGGGCTAAACACTGCGCTTCCTGAGCCTGGCCCGCCGCGGCGGCCTGGCGGTCGTAGTCGCAGGGGCAAAGGGCGGCCACCTGTGCCGCCGGCGCCTCTCGCTCGCCATCCGGGATGTCCGCGGCTGCGAGCCGGAGCACTTCCTCCCCCGTGGCTTCGCCTCGCGCTGCCCAGCGCATCCCAGTGGCCTCCCTGCGTCCACGAGCGACGCAATCGGCGTGCACTGACCTGACTGCCCCCATGTCGGCCGTCGAGCACATCAGCCTGGACACGCTCGCCGCGACCTGCGGCTCGCGGCCTGTCGGCAGCCCCCTCGCCCGAGTAATTTACTCGAGCAGCAAGTCGCGCAGCAGTCGGCAAGCTGACTCCACGCCACCCGCGGCACGCGGGAAGTCAGGCGCCGGGTCCAGGATGGTCGGCAGCATGGGTTCGGCGGCGACTTGCTCGAGGAGCGAGGCGAGGGAGGGCTCCGGAGATTCAGGTGGCACGCCTGCTCCCTCAACACGTGCGCCGGCATCCTCTTTCCTCCTCATCCGCCTCGGCCTCCTCGCCCTCCTGCCCTCCTGGGTGCTGCGCAGGCGTGCCGCGTGCACCTCCGTTGTGGCGAAGCCTGCGCGGCGCCACCTCTGGGCCCCCCCTCGGGCGGCAGCCGAGCACAGGATTGCCCTCGCGGCCCTCCGGCCTGGTCGGCAGCTCGAGCAGTTGCAAGCTCTGCAAGCCATGCATGTCCAGATGCCGGTCCCTGGCCGGACCAGCCCGGCACGGAGGTTGCGCGCAGACGAAAGCGAAAGGCGAGTGCGGCGGAGCTGGCAGGGCGGGCCCTGGCTGGAGGCCTCGGCCGTAGCACCAAGATCAGCAGCAGGCGGCGCGACCGGGAGCTGCACCACTGGGGTGCCCTCAGCCTCATTCCTCGGCCTCCTCGTCACCTCCAAGCGCCTCCTCGGCAGCACCTCCGGGCTCCACTGCACGCCGTGCCGCCTCGCCCGCATCCTCCGCAGCCGCCGCGCAGGCCCAGCATGTGGCAGCGCGGCAGGGCTCGCGCGCCATCGCCCGGTCACCTCGGCCCCAGCCGCCACCGCAGCTTGATCAGCCTCCTCCCCGCCCTGGCCGCGTTCCCCCAGCCAAGAGCTACAGCCCGGGCAGCGGAGGCCTGCCTGGCTGCTGCTGGCCGCTGCACACTGCGAATGCGGATGCCCCCGCTCCTCCGGCGCCAGCGTCGACGCGCCTCCTGGCGGCGTTGCAGGACCGACTTCGAAGCGCTCCCTCCACGTCCACCTCACCTTGTCCGCCTTCCTCCTCCACCTCCTCACTTCGAAGCCCTCCCTCCACCTCCTTCCCTCCCTCCCTCCCTCCCTTCCTTCCTTCCTCCGTCCCTCCTTCCTGCTATGCTACAGCGACGCTCGCAGCTCTGGCACGTCGAGGTCCTCCGCAGGGGGTGGGGGGGGCGGCGGGGCCCTCGTCGGGGAGTTCCTGCGACCACCCCGACCAACGACGAGCAGAGGAGCAGGGGGACGCTCATCCTCCTCCTCCTCCACCTCCTCCTCCTCCTCCTCCTCTTTCTATTCCTCTTCCTCTTCCTGCCTCCTCCCCCTCCCCCTCCCCCTCCTCCTCCTCCTGCTGCCTTCTGCTGCTGCTGCTGCTGCTGCTGCTCTTCATCTTCCTCCTCCTCCTCTTCCTCCTCCTTCTCCTCTTCCTCCTCCTCCCCCTCCTCCTCCTCCTCCTCCCCCTCCTCCTCTTCCTCCTCCTCCTCCTCCTCCTCTACTTATTATTATATTTCCTCTTATTATTATATGGATTCGTCTTCGTCTTTGTCTTGTGATTAGTATGATTAGTTTTCTTATTGGTATTCGTATGTTTCTTCTTTGTAGTGTTACTATTATTCTTAGTGGTCTTGTTATCATTGTTAGTATTGTTATTATCCGCCGGCCCCCTTCTGGGGCCACCAGGATGCAGGGCGAAGGTTCGCAGTTTCCAGTACCAGTTGAGCTTCCAGTTTCCACTGTTGCAGTTCTGCTTCTTGCTGCTTACTGTTCCTTGTTGACTTCTTGCTGCTTACTGTTCCTTGTTATGGACCGCGCGAGGGGGGGAGGCCGGGAGGCCCACAACGGGCATTTTCACCACGGCCAAAACGTATGCTCTGAATTGCTGGGGTGGGTAAAACTTGATACCCCTCACGCAGATCGGCGGGGTCAGGGTCCCAAAACACACGGGGTTTGCCTCATTTCTGACATTCGATGGCACTCCTCACGCAGATCGGCGGGGTAAGGGTCCCAAACACACGGGATTTGCCACATTTCTGGCATTCGCTTGCACCCCTCACGCAGATCGGCGGGGTCAGGGTCCAATGATTCACTGCGTGGAGCTCTCCATATGTGCATCTATTCGCATGGACCTGTCCGCCGTGAATGTCTAGGCGCAAGAACTTTCGAATAAAAAAGGGCTTCAGTTGTGACGGTCTGGACATGAATCTATCTGCGATTTCATTGGAGTGTGAATGAGCCTCAGTAGTACGAGAGCGTCTCTGCGCATGAGCCTGGGGCCTCCTGAGGCCTCCTGAAACCTACTGGGGCTTCCTGGGGTCTCCAGGAGCCTCTTGGGCCTCTTGGGGCCTCCTGGGACCTCCTAGGGAGGTTTCGTGCCCCAGGAGAGGCCCAATCTACAGCGACAGACGTACATGAAACATTGCGGATTAGAGCCACAGGAGAAGGGCAATCTATGGGAACACACGTAAAACACCAAGGACTCGTGCCCCAGGAGAGGCCCAAAATATAGGAGCATAAGTCAAACATGTAGGATTGTGTACACAGGAGAAGGACAATCTATATAAACATACGTATAAGATCAAGGAATCGTGCTCCAGGTGAGGTCCAATCGGTAGGAGCATACGTAAAACACATGGGATTGGAGCCACTCTTGTTGCCTTCTGAGGCCTCCTGCTCCTGGGGCCCCTCAGGGCCTCCTGTTGCCTTCCAAGGCCTCCTGGCGCTTCCTGTGGCCTCCTGGTGTCTCCTGTGGCTTCCTGAGGCCTTCTGGAGCTTCCTGGGGCCTCCTGGAGCCTCTTGGGACATCCTGTGGCCTCTTGAATCTTTCTGTGGCCTCCTGATGCCTCCTGGGACCTCATATGGTCTCCTGGGGCCTCCTGGAGCCTGTTGGAGCCTCCTGTGGCATCCTGAGAAGAATCTGCGCCCACGAGCCTGGCCACCAACACAGGCAAACCGATCGAGACATCTTCAACATCTGGCCCACCTGGGGGGCGAAAATGAGCGCCTCGCTCGGGACATCCTCCAAATCTGCTCCGACAACGAAGGATGTTGGGGCAAAACACGAGCAAACCGCTTGAGACATCTCCACAAAACGGCCGCGAACGGGACCGTGAACCCCCCCCCTGGCGGCCCCCCTCAGGGATGCTGAAACCAACGCCCCGCCTGAGACATACTCACAAGCTGCTCGGATAGCCAAGGATGCTGGGACAAAAAAACCAAGCCTGCAACATCCCCACAACATTGCTGCGAACGGGACCGTGAAAACACCCCTGGCGGCTCCCCTTAGGGGGGCTGAAGCCAGCGCCCCGCCTGAGACATCCTCACAATCTGCTGTGCGTGCGATGAAAAGGTCAGAGTACGAGCAGGTCTGAGTATGAGTAAGTCTGGGAACAAGTCTGAGTATTAGTTAGTCTGGGCATGAGTGAGTCTCAGCATGAGTAACTCTGAATAGGAGTAGGTCTGAGTATGAGTAGGTCTGAGTATGAGTAAGTTTGTGTCTGAGTAAGCCTGGGTAGGATATAGGGGAAACGCACGGGATTTGCCACATTCTGACATTCGCTGGCACCCCTCACGCAGATCGGCGGGGTCCGGGTCCAAAAACACAGTGGATTTGCCACATTTCTGCCATTCAGTGGCACCCCTCATGCAGATCGGCGGGGTCAGGGTGTAAAAACACACTGGGTTGGTACATTTCTGACATTCGCTGGCACCCCTCACACAGATCGGCGGGGTCAGGGTCCAAAACACACAAAGGATTTGCGACATTTCTGAAATTCGGTGGCGCCCCTCACGCAGATCGGCGGGGTCAGGGTCCAAAAGCACACGGGATTTGCCACATTTCTGACATTCGCTGGCACCCCTCACGCAGATCGGCGGGGTCAGGGTCCAAAACACACAAAGGATTTGCGACATTTCTGAAATTCGGTGGCGCCCCTCACGCAGATCGGCGGGGTCAGGGTACAAACACACATGGGATTTGCCACATTTCTGAAATTCGGCGGCACCCCTCACGCAAATCGGCAAGGTCAGGGTCCAACAACACACGGGATTTGCCACATGTCTGACATTCGCTGGCACCCCTCCCTCAAGCAGATCGGCGGGGTCAGGCTCCAAAAACACAAGGGATCTGCCACATTTCTGACATTCGGTGGCACCCGTGACGCAGATCCGTAGGGTCAGGGTCGAACAACAAACAGGTCCCGGCACTGCTTCACAGCGGCGCACAGACCTCATAATTTAGCTTTCGCAACTCCCATTATCCGAGACAGGGGGCCGGCGGGATGGGGCGAAGCCCTTACGGATTATCATTATCATTATTATGGGTATTATCATAATTAGTATTCGTCTGATTACGATTATTAGGTTCACTAGTGTTATTATTGTAAGTACTGTTAGTACGAATATGATTATTCTCATAATCATAATCTTCATCAGGATCACTATCATTATCATTCCCCACATCCAAAGTGGGGTTCTTGTTTTCTCTGGACACCCCGCGCAGGAACAGGAACACACACACACACCCACTCACACTCACTCACACTCTCTCATCATCAACCTCATCAGCATCATCGATGATGCTCTCTCACATGCTTAGTCACTCACATACTCATCATCATCACTCGCACTCTCTCACACGCTCATGAACATCATCATCATCATCATCATCGGCATCGGCATCATCCTCATTCAAACATCATCATCGCCACCACCACCCACAATCAATCATCATCCTCTTCACCACTCATCTTCACCACCACTCATCATCCTCATCCTCATCATCGTTGAGTAAAGTGTGAGGAAGTCTCAGTCGGGAGCCCCCTCCCTATGGGGCCCGCAGATCATGTTGGTAATCCGAGCGGGTCATCGGAACCCTGTAGCTGTCGTCACTTTTGGGCTCCTCAAGCCTGAATATGGAGGAAGTCTCAGGCGGGAGCCTCGTCTGTGAGTGAACTGCGAGGAAGTCTCAGGCGGGAGCCCCCTCCCTATGGGGCCCGCAAATCATGTTGGTAATCCGAGCGGGTCATCGGAACCCTGTAACTGTCGTCACTTTTGGGCTCGTCAAGCCTGAATTTGGAGGAAGTCTCAGGCGGGAGCCTCGTCTCTGAGTGAATTGTGAGGAAGTCTCAGGCGGGAGCCCCCTCCCTATGGGGCCCGCAGATCACGTTGGTAATCCGAGCGGGTCATCGGAATCCTGTAACTGTCGTCACTTTTGAGCTCCCCAGGCCTGAAAATGGAGGAAGTCTCAGGCGGGAGCCTCGTCTGTGAGTGAATTGGGAGGAAGTCTCAGGCGGGAACTCCCTCCCTATGGGGCCCGCAGATCATGTTGGTAATCCGAGCGGGTCATCGGGATCCTGTAACTGTCGTCACTTTTGGGTTCCTCAAGCCTGAATTTGGAGGAAGTCTCAGGCGGGAGCCTCGTCTGTGAGTGAATTGTGAGGAAGTCTCAGGCCGGAGCTCCCTCCCTATGGGGCCCGCAGATCATGTTGGTAATCCGAGCGGGTCATCGGAAACATGTAACTGTCGTCACTTTTGGGTTCCTCAAGCCTGAATTTGGAGGAAGTCTCAGGCGGGAGCCTCGTCTGTGAGTGAATTCTGAGGAAGGCTCAGGCGGGAGCCCCCTTCCTATGGGGCCCGCATATCATGTTGGTAATCCGAGCGGGTCATTGGAACCTTGTAACTGTCGTCACTTTTGGGCTCGTCAAGCCTGAATTTGGAGGAAGTCTCAGGCGGGAGCCTCGTCTCTGAGTGAATTGTGAGGAAGTCTCAGGCGGGAGCTCCCTCCCTATGGGGCCCGCAGATCATGTTGGTAATCCGAGCGGGTCATCGGGATCCTGTAACTGTCGTCACTTTTTGGGCTCCTCAAGCCTGAATTTGGAGGAAGTCTCAGCGGTTTTGTCCCCAGGGGCGGAGCCGAATGCAGCTCGCGGCAGAGCTGGGCTTCGGTGCTGCCTTCCGCCTGAGCGCGGCTGCGCCTCGCTCGAAGCCAGCGGGGTTGTCCCAACGGCTTGGTCTTGCGCGCCAACGGCTCGCGGGGTTGTCCCGACAGCCTGGCCCGCGGGGTTGCCCCAACGGCTGCGCGACGTGACCAGTGGAGAACGCGCCTGCGCTGGCCGTGGCGGCGACGGCGCCGAGGACCATCGACATGCGCGCTCATGCAA